ACGCTCCACGGTCCCTCCCGGCCGCCGCTCCCGGCCCCTCGCTCCGCTCCCCGGTTCCTGCCCCGGCCCCTGCCCCCGCTCCCCCGGCCCCTGCTCCAGCCTCCGCTCCGGTCCAGCCTCTGACCTGACCAGCTGCACCGCCTGCAAAGGGCCACACGGACCGGGCAGGGCACAGGCAACATCCCAGCGCCTGCCCGGGCCGGGGCTCCCCGGGGCGTGTGGGGCCCGGCCCCGCAGTACACCTAGCGCCTGCCCGGGCAGGGTCCCGTGTGTTTAATGTTTAGCTATTAAGACAGAAAATGCCATCAAGCCCCGTATAAACCCCGGTTCCCCACCCCGGGCACACTGCGGCAGGCCTGGCCGCCCCAGCCCCTCCATGTTACATTGAATTGAAAAGGTTCAGAGAAGGGCGACAGAAATGGCCCGTCGGCGTGGGGGTGTCTCCACTACAGGCCTGGACGGGTCTTAGAGCTGCCCTCAGGTCCCAGCCCCCCGAACCCGACCGCCAGCCCCCGCCAGCCCTCAGGTCCCAGCCCCCCGAACCCGGCCGCCAGCCCCCCCACGTCCCATCGGCCTTGCTCCATCACCCAGGGCTCTGCTCTGCTTCCGCGCCGGCCTCAGCGGCCTCCCATGCACGGCTCCAGCCATTTACACGTGGCCCCGGAGCCCATGGGCTAAGCAGACCCGGAGCCAGGAGGGCGACTGGACTCGGTGCTTTGGGAACGCCAGCCCAGTGACCCCCGGCCCAGCCGGCACCACTGCCATGTCCTCCCGCAAGGCCGTGTGCTCCGGCCAGGGCCCTGTGCGGCGGGAGTTGAGGCTGGCGCACACGAGAGGCTGCCGGGCCGTGGTGCTGCCAAGGCAGAGATTCTCCCAGCACCGCGCTGGCAGCTTGCTCTGGGGAGGCGAGGGACAGGGCCCAGATCCCCTCACAATGAACCCACTGTGACGAAGGGGGATGGTCTGTACATAAGAACATAAGAACGGCTGTACCGGGTCAGACCAAAGGTCCATCTAGCCCAGTATCCTGTCTACCAACAGTGGCCAATGCCAGGTGCCCCCGAGGGAGTGAACCTAACAGGCAATGATCAAGTGATCTCTCTCCTGCCATCCATCTCCACCCTCTGACAGACAGAGGCTAGGGACACCATTCCTTACCCATCCTGGCTAATAGCCATTAATGGACTTAACCACCATGAATTTATCCAGTTCTCTTTTAAACACTGTAATGGTCTGTAATGTCTGTATGACTCCCAGGTGTGCCTCAGTTTCCCACTGCACTTTGCGTTGTTACTCAGTGGGGGGAGGGGGGATGTCCGCTCCAGGGGCCGCGCAGAACAGGAGGGGGGTGTCCCGGGGCTGTCGGGGTCACAGTGCAGAGGGTTGTTAAGGAGCTGGCTGCACCCCGCGGTGATGCTGGATCCCAGCGAGGCCGAGGGGACCCCAGTGCCCAGCACATGGACACCCAGGGACCCCCGGCCAAGGGGCAGGAGGTGCCCCCAGCTCTCAGCAGGGAAGCTGGGCAGATCCCCGCTCGAGGACAAAGGGCTGAGACCGGCCAGGCAGGGGACAGGCACAAGCCACAGGACGGAGCTGCTGTTATTTGCCCGTGAAGGGGCCAGGCAGGGGGTACAGAGCGGGCTCCTGGAGGGAGCTGGCTGCTGGCTCCTGCGACTGACCTGCCGAGGGAGCCAGAGGGGGCCAGCGCCTGAGCTGGGGACCCCCCAGCCTGGCTGGGGAGCGGCTCTGCTCGGCCAGGGGGACGATGCTTCAGCCTGCAGGTCTCTGGGCTGAGCTCAGGGCTGCCCATGGGGGCTCCAGGTGCTGCAGACCCCGGCTGGGGGCGTCGGTCCCTGCGGAGGGGCCACGTCTCGCCCAGGGGCTGGCTGGGTGGGACTCACTGGGTAGGGCCTGGGGTGGAGCAGGGAGGGAGGGAGCCCAGGGGCTCAGACTCGGAGGCGATGGGGCTGCGGGGCTGGCGGAAGGAAGAACATAAGAACGGCCAGACTGGGTCAGAACAAAGGTCCATCTAGCCCAGGATCCTGTCTACTGACAGTGGCCAGTGCGGGGTGCCCCTGAGGGAATGAACAGAACAGGGAATCACCGAGTGATCCATCCCCTGTCACCCATTCCCAGAGCGGGGCCCTGGGGGGGCCTGGCCCACTGAAGGGATCCTCCAAGGGGCTGTTTACAAGCGGGGGCTCAGCACACGTCTTGGGGATCCATGACACCTAGCTAGAGCGGGGAGGGGACAGGACTCCTGGGCTCTATCCCCAGCTCTGGGAGGGGAGTGGGGCCTAGTGGTTAGAGCAGGGACGTGGGAGCCAGGACTCCTGGGTTCTCTCCCCGGCTCTGCCACTGACACAGCATGTGATCTTCGGCAGGTCACGTCCCTTCTCTGAGGCTCGGTTTTCCCGTCTAGTGACAGCGCCCCCTGCTGGGGAGTGGGTGAGGTGTACCGAAGGGCGAACTCTTGTTCTTTGCCAGGGAAGCTGTGAACTGGGCAAACCGGGCATGTGCCTGGGCGGCTCTGCCCATGCCCGTCCCACAGGGGCTGCCTGGCCCCTTCACGAGCAAATAACAGCAGCTCCGTCCTGTGGCTCGTGGCTCGGAGCCACCGGTGCCTGAGCCTGGCTGGGAGACTGATGGCAGGTGCCAGGGGAAGGGGCTGCCATGGGCCTGGCTTACCCAGGCAGGCTGGGCGCCCAGCCACCTTTCCCTGCCACCCGAGCCCCGTGTTCTCCGTCCTGCTGCCACAGTGTGTGTGTGGGGGGGACATAGACAGAGGCAGCTCCGCAGGGCTCGGTGCCTTCACCACCCTGGACACTCGAGTGGGGCAGCTCTGCCCTTCCACTCAGGGGGCAGAGGGTCCTTCTCCTCCTGCCCGGGCTCAGCCCCAGGGTAATAGGAGCCTATATAAGAAAAAGACCCCAAAATAGGGACTGTCCCTATAAAATCAGGACATCTGGTCACCCTAAGCCTGCCCCATCCAGAGGGAGGGAGCTCCTCTGCTGTGGGTGGGGAAAGGTGCTGTGGGAGTGGATGCCCTTGCGGGTGGGCAGCATGGGTAGGAGGATAGGAGCAAACACTGTCCCAGCCCAGGGAGGGGCATTCCTGCCCTTCAACCCCTTCTCATGGTGCCCCCTGGACATGCCAACCGCTGGCCTCCTGCAGATTCATGCATGCTCCGAAACGTGGCCCCACGCACTCTGTCTAGGCGCTACCCAGCCCTGTCCCATAGCATCGGGGCACCTAGCGGCCCACGCAGGTCCCAGCCGCGCTGCCTCTCCCAGCAGCCAGCGCCCGCTGCCCGGCTGTGCCGCCAGGATGGGAGAGCTGGGAGCATGCGGCTCACCTCGGCGCTGCCCGCTCCGGCTCCTGCCCACCGAAGTGCTACCCTGGCTCTGCCAGTGACTCACCACGTGGCTCTGGGCAAGTCCCTCCCCTGCCTCACTTTCCCCTCTGCGAATGGGGTGACAGCCCTGTGCCCTGTGCTCTGAGACCGGGGCATGAGAAGGGCTAGGTGCTAATTACCGATGGGTGTCTCCCCGCCATGCCCTGCTGCTCCCACTAGCTACATCCTGTGTGCTGGGGCGAGGGCTCTGTAACAGCCCTGGGGGTGTGGGGCCGTGAGTGGGGGTCTCGTTGCCAGAGGGCACGGAGCTCTGTACTGGCTGGCAGGGCTGCGAGCGGAGCAGCAGGGGGACTGTGGGGATCCCAGCGCTCACGGGAACGGCAGCCCAGCACACACCTGTCTCCCGCGCCGTTCCCTGCCCCGGCTCCGTGCAACCCTGGCGGGGGTCGACCCCCAGTAACGCCTCGCTGTCTGCCTGCTCACACTGCCCCGCGCCCCAGCGTCCGTGCTGAATAGCTCAGGGAAAGCCAGGACCAAGCAGGCTGCGCCCCACCCTCTCTGCAGCCAACCATGGGGGGGGGACACACACCCTGGGACGGGGGCCTCTGCTCTGCACAGGCACAAAGAAAACTCACCTCTGCCCTGTGCCCTGTGTGGTTGTTGGATTTGTGCTTGGGCCCCCGGCCTGCGCTAAACCCGCTCGGCCTCCAGCCAGCCCTTCGGGGGTGCCCCCGTCACATGACCCCAGCGGACTCAGCACTGGCCCTATGCCCCAATCCACCTGCCACGCATGGGGCGGGGCACCAGGGAGAGCCCCCCTGCCACCGCCTGGCCTGCCTGTGCTCCGGGCTCGCAGCCTGGCACAGCAGCACCTTGCCTGCTTCCTGGGGCAGCAAAACGGCGGACATGACTGGCCCTGAGGCCCTGGACCTTTCTCCTCGGCCGCTGGCTCCACCAGCCCCGCGGTGTCAGGCCAGGCGAGTGGTTCGCAGAGGGGCTGTTTGGGAAGAGGCCGCGGCTGCGAATACCTGTGAGCCCCCTTTCCATGGAGGGGGCAGGGCAGGTCCTCAGGGACCCTCTGCCGCAGTGGGCAGTGAGGGGGGGCTGGAGCCCTTTGCCCAGGTGAGACCAGACTGCTGGGAGCAGCCCCCCAGACCAGGGGGATGGGCCAGATCGCCTGATGGGGTGTCCCCCGACTTCAGCGACTCTGATCGGTCAACCATGGAGGTGGGGTCGTCGTAGCTGTGCCCGGCTGGTCCTGGCTCTCAGCGCCGCCTTGGCACGCTGGCCTGGCTGCAGGGACGCCCTCGGACCAAGGCCTGTCCCGAGAGCCCGAGGTGCTGCTGGGCCAGGCCTCTCATCGGGGCTCAGGGTTAGGGCCAGCCC